TCTTTTGCATATTCCATCTCAATCATCATTATTAACTTAGTATACTAATAATATAGCCCAAGAAACTTTTAGACCCAGATGGAACTTTTTATGTCTACGTATATCATGTTTATTAGAAACATAACACGTGAATATTTTTCTTAAATTTAGCAACACATTGTTGATTCTCTGATATAAATACTTTTCTGTCCAATTTTTTTCCCCTAATGCATTTATGCAGAAGAATTATTATTACATTGTATATAATTGAGGCAACTGGTAGTACACTTAAAACTGTTTTATTGTAGTGTACAATTGGATCATGGATGACAGAAGGAACTTTTGAAACTCAGCAGACTTGTGACTCTAGGTTCAAAAATATCTATATTCCAACATGTATCAATGCAGAAAGTGCATCACGTTGCAATATTGATAGACTGATTCTTTTCTGTGCTTTCAAATTTATGCAGACTAGCCTGATGTACAAGCTCAACCAATTATTCGTCAGTAGGAAAAAATTTCGGCTGACAATTTTTCCCGGGTCCTATGATCATGCTATTTGCGGCTCTGGTTGTGATATTTTTGAATGGAAGAAATAATTTCTGTTGAAGATGGCATGTAACTGTATATGATTTTTCACTGATTAAGGGTGTGTTTGGATTGGCTGTAGCAAAACTGACTTTTGTTCTAACTAACTTTTGTAACTGAAGTTAGAAAAAAAGTCAGTTAGTATAATGCGATTTATGTTTAGATAGGTATTTAAAAAAATCAGTTGGAAAAGTTAAAAGTTATTTGGATAATTAATAGAAAAGTGAATTTAGTTGTAAAATAGTTAAAAAAGGTATAGATTTATTGAATAATAATGTTTGATATTTATGTTTTTGATGTGATAATAGTTAAAAAAATCTAAAATTATTATGATAAAATAAAAATATTTTATTTGTGAAATTATAAAATAAGAATTTGTTACTGAGAAAAATTTGAAAAACAATTGTAGATAATTAATTAAATATGTATAATAGACAATTAAAAAATATATAATTAAAAAAAATAAATAATATAAATGTGTTGCTTAGTGTTGGTAAGGAAAAAAAAAAATAAATGTGTTGACCTACACAGAGATCGCCAATGAGGGACACAGAGGTAAAAAAAATTGGTGGGTCCCACTCACTGCAACGCGGTTAAAGGCAAAAACAAAAAAAAGTTCCAGTAAATAAAAGTTAGTTTGAAGCTGCAGTGATGATGGAACAAATGCTATCCCAAACAATTATTTTCTTCAAATAACTCTCCAACTCACGTTTCATGTTTTCCAAAATATGTTTGTAGGCTAAACGGTAATCCAAACATAGTCTAAGATGTTTATCTTCAACTACAAGGGCAAGTTCTGACGTATAATCTGCCCTCTCTTCGCATTGCGAGGAGCTAAAAACTTATTAACAAGAGAAGGTTGATGGTTAATGGATTTGGCTTTTCTTAACCAACCATAGTCAATATAATGATTTTTTTTTGTGGCTAATTTAACACGCCCCTTCCTCCACAGGAAAGAGGACCAACACCCGCCCTTATTTTGGTCCCTTGGGGTGTAGAAGTAACTCACAACCTCCTCTAAGGTGAAAACATGTTAGGCCTATCTTGAAGTCTGTTAGTCTAAGCCTAGCTCATGACTTATTACATGTGTTTTGCTCAGTTTAATTCTAACTGGCCTAAAACATGTTAAAAAGTTGTATTTTTAAAAAATTTAAATACATAAATTAATTCAAAATTACAGTAACTCAATTCAAAATATCTAAAATACAAACATAAAATATAATCTAATCTAATCCATCAACAAATTACGGCAATAATCAATGTTTTGAGCACTTTAGCAAATATATTTCGTTTGGTTTCAAATAAAAAGACCTAAAAATTAAAATATTTTCATTCATACAGGGTTCAACCTAAAACTAGACAAATGGCTGAATATTTTGATTATGCCTATGTTGGCTTAGTTTATGCGTTGTTTTGGTTTTTTTTTGGCTAGGTTAGTTTATGCGAATTACGTGAACGGATATACATGCGCGCGCGCGTGTAGTGTTCCAAAATTTCCAAATCTTGTAATTTATATATGGGTCCGTTTGGATCAGTGATTAAAAAAGTAACTTATGAATAAGTAAAATTGGGAAAAAACTAAATTGAATAAGTTAATTGTGTTGGATTGGAGTTCAGAAAAGTTATTGTAAAAGTAAGATGGTAAAAAAATTGTTGGATTATAATTAAATAAAAGTAAGTTTGGTTGTAAAATGACCAAAATAGGTATGAGTTTTAATAAATAATAAAACATGATAAAAAAATAAATTTGTATAATATAATGAATTTAAATTAATTTAATATAAGAAGTGAAATTTAATGGGTGATTTTAAAATTGAAATTTTAAAAAAAAAAAAATATTTAAAAACAAAGCTCCTTGGGTGGCAAAGTAATGAGCTTTTATGTTAATTTGAGAGGAGTCATGGGTGATGAAAGCTTGGTTTAAAAAAAAACCAAGTGAATAGGGATAGGGGATAATGGTAGAAGTGGGAGAACAATAAAGGAGAAAAAAAGACCCTCTCACAGCAACGCAGTCGTGGGAGAGCTGAGGTGAAAAAAAAAAACAAAGTGAGAGAATATGGCCCCTGACACATCACGGCGGTTAAAAGCCATAATAAGCTCTTTAATAAGCTACAAAATTCAGCTTGAGCCATAAAGTACGTTTGTTAGCTTAAATTTCATAAGCTCCTCTTTTTTTTAACCAAAACAAATACCATGATTTTTTCAATCGGGCTTACAATACAAATAAACTACTTTTAAGGCTCCAAAAGCCCTGCCAACTTGCTATTTATATTTGTACATGCATACACAGATACGCAAAATATACCCTTCAAGGAGACATTAATCTTTATCATCTCAGAGGCATAAGAAAGCATAAAGACGATGTGAAAATTACTTTGTATGGTCACCAAGAAAAAAGTTGACAGTGGGGGCTTGAACATGCACTCCTCAATATTTCTATGAAAGCATTTAAAGCTGATTAAGATTAAAATCAAAACAGAACATTAGCCTCACCGTTCCTTTTTTTTAAAACCTTCTTGTCCGGTTAAAAATCCCATACAGCATAAAGAATGACGAGAACAGATGTAAATTTCATTTTGATCTTATCATCTTTGTATCAATAAAGTAATATTGCAAAAAACAAATATAATAGCTCCAGTCCGCCTAACAAGTTTAATAGGCTTATTAAAGAGCTAGACTTGACTTATTAGAGAAACAGATTTGAAAAAAAAAAAAAAACCTGAGCCTCCTCTAATTTTAAATAAGCCAGACCAATTAGGCCAAATGCAGACTAGGTTGTGGGTCTCTAAGAGTCTAACAAGCTGCCTGACATATTTCTACCCCTACTCCTGTGTAAGAGAAAGTGTAAGGTGCCATATGAGTTAGAATTAGAAGCTCTTGGTCTCCTCCAGTCCTAAATATAAGAGTAATATATGGGTGTGACTATGTGAGTAGAGGTGGATTCCAATCCTTCTGTATATAAAAAATATAATATAAATCCAAAAAATAATATAAAATACGCATCTAAAGCAAACTACGTTGTTATTGTACCCCTCCGGTTCTTAATATAAAGACTTTATTTAACTTTTATTTTGATCATAAAATAAGATCCTAATCCATTTTGTCTTTCATATTTATGCATTTTCCAAGATAGTCCTTCTAACAATAGTAGTTATAACCATACATTTAATAGCAAGGATATTTAGGAAATGTACATATTTATTACAAATGACTAATTTAACTTCTTTCTTTAATCTCCTTAAATTAGTCAAAACTTTATAATTAGGATCGGAGGGTAGTATTAAATAGGATGTGCTTCCCCCCATGATGCGTGGGAAGCTTATAATCTTGAGTTATTTGTTTTCATTTTCCTTCATATTCATAATTTTTTATTCTTAAAATTAACATCAGGCTTGAGCTTATGATCTCATTCCAAGTATGATGGTGGCGTTACTGTTGGGCTGGGGCTAACTAAACGTGGACAAATAATTTCATATTCAGGGAGTGTTTGGATGGAAATAACAAACTATAGTTTTAGAAGTGATTCACGGTCTATGAGGTAAATATGTGGAGGAGTTTATCTTGATTTATGAAAAATGCTTCTGAGAAGCACTTTCAGAATATCCAAACACCCCCTCAACTTGTATCAGTTTTGGGAACCCGTGAATTCTTGGTACACAATTGTTTTTTGGATTAAAGTGCGCACGAGCTATTTTTCAAGTGTTTCCAGTGTAAAGTATTTTTGATATATTCAGTATCCCAACTAATTAAAATAGTAGATCCATATCTCAGGTTAACAGAAAAGTTTAGTTTGACTGTTATTTGTTGACTCAATTAAAGTTGACCAAAAAATCTATATAACAGATGCAGGCGTCTGATGTTGTATTTTTTTGATTAATAGAAAACGCGATTCAGTTTGGTCAGACATGATTGAAAACGGATGTAACTTCATATTACGTTAGTTATCTTATTTAGTTTGGTAAATAATGTAAAAAAAAAAAGAAATAAAAAACAACAAAAGGAATTAATACAGCAAGATTAAATATTCTTCCATCTTAAATATAAGACCTTTATAAGATTTTATACAAGACCTTTATACTAGTATATATAAGGTCTATATTTAGGACCGGAAGAGTATAATTTTAGTTAGAAAGATATAATAATAAAAAATTCAATCTAAATTTTGTTGCAGAGAAAAATATTATTTCATTTTAAATTTATAAATTCTATATTTCAGGTGGCAAAAAATTCTCTATTTCCAAATAAATCTAACAAATCATCTATTACGTCTGAATGACCATCGTACCCCTCTCTTCATGATGTGGCAGCGCGTCATGGTAAGCAGTTCTTCATGACCTGGCATTAACTCATACCAGATTACGAGATCGCCGTGGCTGCGACGAGCAGCGGCAGCCCGTTTACCGCCTCACGGCATATATTAGAGACTATCCAGCCATCACTGGTCGGCAAATCCTCTTTTGACGAAGCCTCCCTTGGTGTTTAGTGTTAGGTGCTTTTTGTCACAAGTAGCATAATGGGGAGGCCGAAAGGTGAAGGAGGTAGAAGCAAGGCGCGACCTTCAAGCAGCAGGTGAATTGTTTTGCTAATTTTTACGAAGTTTTGTTTTTGGAGCTTCTACAGCATCTCTCATCAGCTTCTCTTTCAATATTTCTTTTTTAATTGTTCTTGGTTGCTTTTCTTCCTGCAGTCTTGCGGCGTCGCTTTTGCCGTCGGGTTCCGGTGCCACTATGGGATTCGGTGGGTATGTCGGTAGTTCGCGGCTCGATTCTTCTATCTCAAGCGATGACTCAGTGCCAGTTGCCGTATGTCCTCTCTCATCCTATGGCTTTTCGGAATCTTTGAGCTTGAGCGTCTTGAATTGAGCTACTACGTGATTGTAATTATTTTGGGATCATAGATGTAATAATATAGTGTCGTATTTTCATTCTGGGGTGCGCAGGACGTAGATAGTGAAATGGCGGTGCACTTGAAGAGACTAGCCAGGAAGGACCCCACCACGAAGGTATATGCATGGCTTTCACTAATATTTGTCAGGGAAGAAATTCTCTACGCTTAATGCGGCATTTTGGGTACTTATTTGGTGCTCGATGTCAGCATGTATTAGTTAGCTTATTCTAGGCTTCTAGCCAGCTCTGGTCTGTATACTTAGGTAACTACACTATACCAGTTCTATTAGTAGGCCAATTGAACTGTGCAATTACCTTCGTTATTGGAAATCATGCGTATGACGGAATTTGTTATACTCCTCCGGTTCTTAATATAAGTCCTATTTAATTAATTTGATTAGAGTAAAGAAATTAGGTAAGTTACTTAATTATAAGAAATATGACATGTTTTTTCTAAAACACCATAATCATCTTCCTTAATATCCATTCTCCCTCTTCTAGTTAATTATAGTTGAAAGAGTATTCATAGGAGTAATTTAGGAAAAATTGATAAATATGATAAATATGTCTTATATTTAGAACTAAAATCAACTTAATAATTAGGTCCTATATTAAGGACTGGAGGAGTAGTTTGTGACATCCAGTCATAATCTGTTTTCTCAGCGGAAGTGATTCTTAGTTAAGGTAGGGTGTCCAACTCTGTGGGAAAGTTAAGAACGTGTCATAATCTAAAAGAAATGGAAACCAAATTTCTCAAATGTTCCATTTGCTTAAGAGCCAGTCCAACTCATCTTAGCAAAGCACCTTTTGAATCGTTAGACTCTTTTCCAACCAAATACTCCAAATCACAACAATTTGTAATGTTATGGATTAAGGTTTTCTTACTTTTTCTTGCTTGTTTTTATTTTTAATCTTTTGTGGTTTTTGAAGGCGATGCCTTATCCTTATTTGTCTTTATCATTCATTCTTTGCCGAGTGAGAAGTTCTTCATTTTCATTTCTAATCCAAGAAAGAAAGAAAGCTAAGTAGTATCTGTACAATTTTCCTTGCAAGGTTTCTTAATATTTACTCTCATCTCATCGGTTTTTATTTTCTGATTGTTTTTTGACTTAACAGCTTAAAGCATTGACATCATTATCGGAGCTGCTCAAACAAAAGTCCGCAAAGGACATTGTCCCAATTGTTCCCCAGTGGGTATGATTAAGCTAAAGTCTGATGCCTCCATGCCTTACTGTTGGTTTCCTTGAGCTTGGACAGTCAGTTTGATCAACTTGACTGTTTGGCTGTTTCTTATTTAGGCATTTGAATATAAGAGGTTGTTGCTGGACTACAGCAGGGAGGTTCGACGAGCCACTCATGAAGCCATGACCAACATTGTTACTCTTATTGGGTTTCAACTTCACTGATCAACTTATGCATGTTTTATGCCTTTTTTAATGCATGACTTAAGTTAATTCAACAAATAAGACACTGTTTAGGAAAAAATTTTCTGTAATTGTTTGTCAAATTTAAAACCGTAAGCAGAAGTTTTGCAGATAGACCCTGCCTTAGCAACTTAGCCACAAGCCTTATCATATAATATATTCAAATAATAATTTTTTAAACTTTTGAGAAAACTTTTATGTGTCTGATTCAACATACAAGTTGCTCTCTTCAAATCGATGAGAGCCTGAAACAGAGAGCATTGTTTTGTAAAGTGGTGCTGACTTTTCATGCTACAGTAACCATTAAAAGGAGTTGCTTAATGGCTGTAATCTTCAATTTGACATGTCTCTTGCCAAACGAGTCCGCTCTGATCTGCCTGCCAACTTCTCTGGCGTGTAATATTTAATTGATTGTTATTTGCATATCTTAAGAACCTTTAGGAGTAAACTTAAGTCACATAGAAAGAACATTTAAAAGTTCTCTACTACTTTCCCCCCCCCCCCCCAATGCTTATAACCCTGTATGCATATTTATGGTTGATTCAACCCCTTTCAGGAGAGACTTAGCTCTGCATCTGAAGACCTTAATAGGACCTTGGTGGTTTTCTCAATTTGATTCTGTTCCTGAAGTTTCTCAGGCTGCAAAAAGGTCTTTTCAGGTTGGTTTCTGTATGTTTTGATCTAACAATTGTTTCCAATTGTCAATTTTTGCCTTTGGAATTGAGGTGTGACCTTTACAAAAGTGCATGCGTGGAAGAGAGAGAGAGAGAGAGAGAGAGATTTTCTATGGATCCTCACGCAAAGGTTTTTGTGGAGGGTCTGTTGAAAAAACGGCTGTTGTGAGCGTTTACTGTAATATCATGTGTAAGAAATCACAGGTTGCCATCATTTTAATGATTTTCAGCATCCTTTTCATGTTTATGTAAACTAGTTCCTTTTACGATAAAAATGAGAACCATAAAGGAGAATCTTCACCATAATTTATACCTAGATAATTTACTCATCTTAGGCTAGGTAATAGTTTGCTAGTTCTTCACGAGTATTGTACTGGTGTGGTTGAATGAAACTTCTGGCTGTGGGGATGTTTGCATAACCTGAAGATAGTTAGGGATAGGATGATTGAAAACTGATTCAAGTGAAGAAGGTAAATTCATCACTGATGAAGATATAGCTAATCATTTGGAGGAAAGGTTAATTCTTGCGACCAAAGGGATGTTTGGCAGGAGCTGGGAAATCAGAGTGAACTCCATTGATTGTAATGCCAATAACGTTGCAGATCTTATTGCTAAGGATGCTCTGTGGGCTTTCAAGCTCTATACTCGTCTAATGCGGCCATGTCTCGTGGGACAGAGGATGATATTGGCTAAGCTTGGGTGTCTGCTTTTGGCAGAGCCTGTTTCTTCCTGTTTTGTTTTTCTTTTTCCATGTGTTACCAGAATGAAAAAAAAAATGAAAAATGAAATTTTGGTGAGTGATAAACCCTAAACCTTAAACCCTAGACTAGCTAGGTATATTCTCTGATAGAAGCTTCTATGGTTGCACTTGCATAACTTTTTATGCCTTACATGTGCTCTTTATGACTTATGTTTTAACCCCCATTGTTGATTTGCAATTAACAGGCAGCCTTTCCAGCACAGGAAAAGAGATTAGATGCTTTGGTTCTATGTACAAAAGAGATCTTGATGTATCTGGACGAAAATTTAAAGCTCACACCTCAAAATTTGTCTGACAAAGCTGCAGCATTGGATGAATTAGAAGAGATGTACCAGCAGGTATACTGTGATGAAATGATTTCATGCCACTGATGTGATTTTTGTTTGACTGTGGGTAAAATATCTTATACAACACAATTGACAATACAACAAAATTCGCTCTAACTACTAACTATCTGAATTTTATAACAGACTTCAGCTAACTCTATTCACACTAAGTATTAACGGCACATATTACCTTACATTTAAGAATCACCTTCAATGTATTTGTGTGCCAAAATTTTGTTTTTCATTTCTCCTTATAAGTTGACTAATGAATATATTCCCCATGGTAAATGAAGTCATAAAGATGGATGGAAGCCCTCTTTGGATAATCCATGTAGGTAAGCATTGTCAGTATTTCCATGAAAGAATTTCATAATGATGGTAGACTCCTTCAGTTGGGTAACAGATTATCCTGATGCCCACGGAAGGAATAAACTGTCACTAGAACAAGGAACAAATATTTGCTTTGAATTCTCTCAGCCTAAGCTGAAATTCTTATTGTCGCATTAATTACTCACAAGACAGTCTAAATTTGTACTTTTTCCATGAGGCCTTATACATTTATTTTCGCCAATCATATGGGAATTTAGTATATGGACGGCTATAAGAGTTTCTCCCTTTTGTTCTTGTAGGTGATCTCATCATCATTGTTAGCATTGGCTGCACTTTTTGATGTTTTAATTTCTCTACAGCAAGAACGATCTGGTCTTCAGAACATATCTGCTGAACCTAAACATGCTTCAAAGGCAAGGGAAGCTGCAGTTTCTTTTGCTGAAAAGTTGTTAACAGATCAGAAATATTTTTTGGATTTTTTAAAGTCCACTAGCCCTGCTATCCGGTCAGCTACTTATAGTGTATTGAAGAGCATAATAAGGAATATGCCCCAGGCTTGTAGTAACGGGAATCTGAAAACTCTTGCTGGTGCAATTCTTGGTGCTTTCAATGAGAAGGAACCAATTTGTCATCCTTCAATGTGGGATGCTATATTACTTTTCTCTAAAAGACTCCCAGATGGCTGGACTTGCTTGAACATTCAGAAAAATGTACTTAATCCTTTTTGGCATTTTCTACGGAATGGATGCTTTGGTTCTCAGCAGATCTCGTATCCAGCTTTGGTTTTATTCTTACACTCTATGCCTCTTAAATCCATAGGAGGGGACAAATTTTTTTTGATTTTTTCAAGAACCTTTGGGCAGGAAGGGGAACTTCCCAGTCTGCAGATAGACTTGCATTTTTCCAGGCGTTCAAAGAGTGTTTTGTCTGGTCATTGAAAAATGTTTCAAGGTACACATTCTTTTTACTAAATGTGGTTGTCTTTACTTGCCAAATTAAATAACTCAAGGATTGTCTCTATCTCCTTCTCCTGAACAGATAATATTAATAGAACCTCTGTCCTTTCTGTAACCCAACTAATTAGTTTCCGTTTGTGTCAGATATTGTGATGGAGCAGATTCTATGAGCCAGTTCCGAGTCACTCTTGTCGAGAATGTCCTAATGAGGCTTTTATGGCAGGATTTTTTTATATCTTCTGATTCAAGAGGTCATGAGAGAGTTTCAGGAAAAGTGGGAGATTCAACAGAGAGCAATATTCGTCTTAACAAGAAAACAGTTAATATGCAGACTGCAAAGTGTCCTATGCCTTATTTACAAGAGTTGGGGAAATGCATTATTGAAGTTCTCGTAGAAATTCATGCATTGGATCACAATCTTTTATCCCCAGTTATTGTGGAATTTGAGGAGAATTGCATCAAAATACTTCAGGAAGAAGCTAATAAAGAGCGCACTGAAGTACTCATTTTATTCATGTCATTGCTGGAGCAACATGCAGTGCTGAAAGGTGAAACGTGGCCATTGGTCTCTCTTGTGGGACCAATGTTGTCAAAGTCCTTCTCATTCATACAAGCTTCAGTAAGTTATTACTTTGCATGTAATGGGGTTTGTTATTTTGTCTCCTCTTGTTTTCAGTTTACTAATGATGTATGAATGGTTTGAATATTTGTAGTAAGGTCTTCTGAACAGCAAAGATTGCAAATAGTGCTTCATACCTATTTAAGCTTGATTTTGTTTTTAAATCATTTCAGTAAGGTCTTCTGAACTGCAAAGATTTTTTAAATTTGGACTTAAGGTGGTAGACACCGAGATGAAATCTTAATAATGTGGGAGTTACGAAAGAACCAGTATTGTGCTCCTATCCATCTTGGCCTTGAGAAACCAATATGTAGAATGTGAAGTCATATTTTGACTGATCAATGTTTTCATTTTCTTTTCTTTTCTTTTTTTCGCATCTGTGGAAAGAAATACCAATAAGGACCCCACACAATGAGAAAGAGTAGATAATAGGTAGTCAAATCTTGGGCCCAGAATTTGATGATAAAATGTTCAAGAAATAAAGGTAAAGGAGTTTTGTGGTTAAAAAGTTGAAGATTTTCATCAGATTATGCTTGACATATATATATTTATCTAATATGTAAAGTGCATAGTCTTTTGATATTGTTGAATCTATAAATTATAAATCTGGACTTCGTCTACTTCCAAAGAAACAGCATTATCTTTTTAATATTTCCTGACCTGATGTATTCTTCATAACAGGACTCGCCAGATGCTGTGAGACTTCTATCTGTTGCTATTTCAATATTTGGACCACAGAAGATGGTGCAAGAAATTTTCATTCGAAACAGAGAGCATTCTTTAAGTCAGCTTCTCCATGATGGTGACAAAAAACTAGATGCTGGGGACTTTATGGAAATCTTCAAGGAAATTTTTGTTCCTTGGTGTCTGCAGGGAAATAATTGCTCAACCGATGCTCGTCTTGATTTGTTGTTGACATTACTGGATGATGAGTATTTCTCAGAACAGTGGTCTTTTATTGTCAATTACGCAACTAGCCAAAATTATTCTGGATGCTCACCAGCATTGCTAGATGTTGACTGTGCAGCAATATTGGCTATGCTTCTGGAAAAAGCAAGAGTTGAGATTACTAAGAGGAAGGAAACAGAAGATTCCGGTGATAGACGAGGCACAAATACTGATCTTTGCCATCATGAGCGTCTGGAATCAGCTGCTATTGCTGTTTCTCATTCCTTCCTCCTTTTAACAACGCTCACGTGCAGTTCGTGTGGTATGTCAATTTAAATTTATCGAAGACATAATGCAGTAAAAATCTTGCATTAAGTACATACTTTGCAGCCATTTAAAGGAATGAATACTGTGATTGGTACTTTTTTCTTCCCAAATACCAAGTTTCTTCCGTAGAATGAGGAGGGATTATGTCTGGAACTGATAAAAGGCCTTGTGGCTGACTAGGATATTATAAGATAGGCACTGGTAGTTGGCGGATTAAAGAGAGGAATGACGTCTGGGGAGCATTGAGTTGATTGAGTTTTTGGTGGGTTGCCTCTTGGTTGAGGCAGAAGAAAGGATCTGGGTAATCAGATTGCACTAAATCTATTCAACGGTGGGAATTGAGTGACTGTAGCCTTTAGGTCTATAATCTGTTCTTTCAGCCACTATCTGAACTCTTTGCTTATTCAACATCTGTCAACTGAATGTGATT